GCTGGGGGATTGAACCGCGGTCCCTGATGCTTTAGGTAAGCTTGTTCTAAGTAGGTGCTTTAGACCACTGAGCCATCTCTCCAGCCCCAGCATGGTTAAATCTTATATAAGGTTTCAACCTCCACCTAGTGGCCAGTTCTAGAACTGAAGGCATGAAGTTGTAGGAAGAAACGCCACAAAAACTGCAGAACAATAAAGCAGGACTGGTATTTATTACCACATACTAAATTAACATAAAAAATAAAATCTGATTTAAAAATAAAAATTTATCAAATATCAAAACTTTAAAACAAAAACATTAAACCTACTGGAATACAAAACAAGTAAAATACTTGAACCCATAAGTGTGCAAAGGATTTTTTAAACAGAACCTCAACTGTGTAAGAACTAACAGCAAGAATCAATAAGTGGGGCCAGGGAAATGACTTGGTGGAATAAGCGCCTCCCTAGCAACTGTAAGTGCCTGAGTTCAATCCCCAGTTCCAGGAAAAAAAAAAATCAATAGGTGGGATTATGTCAGACTAAAAATCTGCACAGCAAAAGAATCAATAAGTACAGTGATGAGACAACCTACAGAATGGGCAAAATATTTTTGCCACTTAGTTACTCCTCAGATGAAGGACTAATATCTGGACTATACAAAGAACTCAGGGGAAAAAATATGTATCACCTAAAATTAAAGACCCAGTCAAGAAAAGGACAAGTGAAATTAACAGATATTTCACAGATAAAGAAGTTTAAGTGGCCAACAATTATAGGAAAAAATGTCTAACATCTCTGGCCATCAGAGAGATACAAATTAAAACAACACTAAAATTCTGTCTTATTCCAGAAACAATGGAAATCATCAGGAAATAAAAATAATAGTAATAAATGCTGGTATGGCGATGGTGAAAAAGGAACACTTATGTTGGAGGGAATGTAAACTAGTACAACCCTTTGTGCAGATTTCTCAAATATCTAAAATTAGAAATGGGGCTGGTGAGATGGCTCAGTGGTCTAAAGCACCTACTTAGAACAAGCTTAGCAAAGCACAGGGACCACGGTTCAATCCCCCAGCACCAC